AGAGGCTTTGATATGCGGAAACCACAATAAAGATTAAAAAAAAAAAACAATAAAAATTAAAAAAAAAAAAAAAATCAGCCTGTGGAGGTACAAATGGAGTAAGTACCCAAGAGGAGGTACTAATGAAAGAAATATCCAAGGGAGTCCAGAGTCGTAGGTCGCTGAACAGTAGCTCCAGGGGCGTTCCCAAGAGACATCCACCTAGATGACACTTCCATGAAACACAGGGGAAATAATGGTTATTTTGATCATTAATTCGCAAAACTTTAGCCAGTTGTGTAGATAAGCCTAAGCTGGCTTCACTTCACAGCAGCGCACCACAGGGCCGCGAGCAGTGCTCCTGGAATGCTGTGTGGTACAGCACGGGCTGCGATCCCTGCCTGCAGATTCCATGTAAATATTTTTAGCTCCTGCTTCTATGGCTACAGCATTGGCAACGCTCGGGGAATCCCTTTTAGAGCGAACCTCTGCCTACGTGAGTTGCAGAGGCAGCAATACACATGCTCAGGGCTGCTCTGACGCTCCGGGTTAAGAAGGAGCGTATTGTTTTGACACTCTGTGGAGGATCACTTTGTGCTGGCGGTGCGGGGCAGGAAAACTAGAAACAGCCCCATTTCCCGTTCCTCCCTCTAGCACATGGACCCAGAATGTGGGGTTCATCACGTGCCCGTGAGCTGACATTTTAATGAGAACTCTAAGTCAGATGATTAGCTGTTTGTCACCGCTTCTGCATGTATCATCTTCCTGCCTGCCGTGGTGCCAGTGACGTTATTGTTATTATTAAGCTGGAGGAGAGGGCTGGGAATTCAGCGCCTGGTTGGGGAGGAAGCAGGGAAGTGGGAGGAGCGAGGTTTCTGGCTGCGCATCCAGGGCTGCCTCACCAGGGCAAGAAGAGTTCAGTAAGGAGATTTGTGATCCTCACGTGGGATTTGCTGGGGGAGGAGAAGTCACCTAGCAATCCTCTCACAGGCCGTGGCTTTGCATCAGACCAGGGAAGAACCCTGAAACTCCAATTCATCAACAAAAACTCAAACCAGATGCCAGATCAGCTGCCTTGTGTACACTCCTGGAGATGGAAACTGCGATTTACAGGACAAGAGGAGTTTCAGATCAGTCTGTTAAAATTGCCAGGATGTGTTGGTGGCCTGGGTGAAACAGGCTAGAAAATGTCCTGTCTTTTGTCCTTGGGGAAGAGGCATCTACATCACTACAGACCTTCAATATACTTTAGCGACTGCTATGCTGCAGGCAGCTAGGAAGCAAGGAGGCCAAAGACAGGTATTATAGAAAGGAGAAATGCCCTGGGATTCCTGCAGTCTAGGCTATTCACTGTAGTATTGCACAAAAGTAATGCCTTTCTTCTGGCTCACCCTCCTGAGATCCTCTGACAGCCCCTGCAACCACGAGGAAATGTTCATATGTCCGAGGACAGAGAGAGACAAGCTGATGATGCTTCCTGTACAAACCTTACCCCCGTTAAGGCTGGGACATGCTGATCTACGCCATTCCCACTGTGGGCTCCCCTGTCCTTCAGAGCTTTGGGCACGCGCCTGTTGGAGCTGGCCATTGAGCTGTGCAGGAGGTCACACTACACCGCACTTAGCAATAAAAGCTGAGACGCTAAAGCACCTGCCAGAGTTCTTGGGGGCACAGTGCCACCATCCACAAGTAAATGTCATGATTCAGATGAGAAAAATCCCACCCCAACATGCTTATTTATTGCCACTGAGCATAAAGGCAGTTTAAAGTGGCAGGCTCAGCTGTACACGCCTGCATTATAAGGGTAGGTGAGATTCCTATCCCATGTCCATCTACACCTCTGTGCCAGACAAGATTATCTGGGAGCTGCCACCATCTGAGCGTATCTGCAACTAAGTAAATGTGTTTTTGGAATATCTCTCCTACTTACACTCAAGATGAGAGATCACAGTGCACCAGGGCTTGACAAGGGAGCTTTACCGAAAGGCCTGAGTCCAAGCGGCAGGGTGTTATCGAGTGCGAAGGTGGGTGGTGGCCGGGCTATCAAACAGCTCTCTCCGAGGCGGAGGGCACAGGCTAACACCCCAGCCCTGCTGTGAGGATTTGTAACAGGCCCTGCCTACCCGTGGTGTCCTTCCCTGCAGGCAACTCAAGTGTGTGGACAAAGCCACCAGTCCTATGAGTTTCTTGGGGCAGCTGAAAGCATTTATATGAGTACTTCTAGAAAAAGACGAGGGCTTTTATGCTCCCCTGGTGCTGGTTTTATCATTAAGGAGCATCCAGTTTGTTCTGCAGTTTCTCCAGGATTCAAGCTTGCTCTTTGCTGTAGTCTGGATTTTTTCCATTCTAACCGGACTGCAGAAGCAGAGTGCCAGCAAAACAGCAATGATGTCTTTTCCCACCCTTGTTCCTTCTAGGTCAACACACTGGTGCAGGGCTGAATCAGATGTAGGAAACCTGGGTCCTCTCACCCCTGCCACTGGTGTGGGCCTTAGAGAGTCACCTCACGCATCCGAGGCAGTCTGCTGCCCCGCTCAGCCCCTACTAATACAATTAAAACTACTACACAAACAAAAGATCATCCTTGGAAAAGTTCTGCTTCTCTGGATGAGGTGTGCAAAGAAGGAATTACTTGATAGGCTGCCATTCGTTGTCCGCAAGGTAACAGCGATTAATTTTTGTGCCGATTTGAGCATGTTGATCCATTCATTAACACCTTCTCTTCTGCTGGTCAGTAAATAGAATCATAGAATAGTCAGGTTTGGAAGGGACATTAAAGATCATCTGGTTCCAGCCCCCCTGCCATGAGCAGGGACACCTTCCACCAGACCAGGTTGCTCAGAGCTCCATCCAACCTGGCCTTGAACACT